TTTATGTGTGGTACTAGAGTCATACCCGATCTATATGTTCCCCCCGTACGTCTGTGCAAAAATTGTGGTCGTCTTGGTCACATTGCTGTGCGTTGCAAGTCTACCAAACGTTGCCTTGACTGTGGCAAGTTAATTATTTGCCCAAATCAATGCAAGGAGCAAAAATGTAAGGAATGCCTTTCTACGATTAAATGCAAAGAAGTATGTGACTCAACCAAATGCATTTTATGCAATAGTGTTGATCACAACGCTATGGATGACAAAATATGTCCAAGATGGAAAACCGAAAGGAGTATTAAATCAATTATGACTCTTTCTAATTTGAGTAGGAAAGAAGTTATACAAAAGTATCCCGAAACCCAAAACTTTTACGCAATTTTGGCAGATAAGAAGTATAATTCAGATTTTCCTCCATTAAAAAAAGCTGCTAATCAATCAAAAATAAATTTTAATGATGAAATAAACAAAAGGATCACAAAAATTAAATACAGTAAAGTAGCTGCTCCTCGGATCAAATCTAATCATCCGGTTGCTAGTCCCAGTACTATTACGCCTTCAGTTCCAGTGTATGAACAGCCATCCTTCTCTAAAGTGTCTGAGCTGGAAAAAGCTATGTCAGCATTTACAAACCAAATGTCTCAACTACTCACCTCCTTAAACTGCGCGGAAGGTTTAGACATCCTAGAAACCTTCAGAAAAACAGTCTTATCTCGTACTGAAAAAAATATAAAAAAGATAAACAATGATCATGAAAACAGTGAAATCCCAATATCAAGCTCTTCCTTACAAAACTAAAACTATAAAAAGCATTCATGAATATCTTACAATATAATATACAGAGCCTTAATAAGAACAAGCATTACCTTGAATTTTACTTAAATAAATTCAATATAGATATCTGTGTCTTAAGTGAAATTTTCAACATAGATGAATCTCAAAACAACACAAATATATATAATTATAATATAGTGTCAAAAAAGAGAACAGACAACTACGGTGGAGTTGCCATCCTTTTTAAAAAGAACATCAAGTTCAAAAAAATAAAATTTCAAACACCATTGGATATAATTATCTGCCAAACAACAAATATCTCAAACAATTTGACAATAGCGTCTGTATATTTCCCTCATTCCATAAAAGCCAGCGAAATAAAACATGAACTTGAAAAACTGCTATCATTTCTTGAATCACGATCCGATGTACTAATTTGCGGCGATTTTAATGCAAGACACACATTTTATGGCGATTCTTTTGACTCATATCGAGGTAACATCGTAAAAAGTTTCTTTGATCCATCTAACTTCTATCATCTCAATAATGGACATTTTACTTTTAAAAAACGTCTCAATGATAACACTGGTTCTGTGCTGGACCTGTCCTTTACAAACACGGCTTTAGATACCACTTGGAAAGTACAACCGTACACTATTGGGGGTAGCCACCATTACCCCATAGTCATAAGTATTGGCAACAGTAAGGTCAAAAATCAAAAGTTTCTAGCTAAAAAGAAACTGTTAAAATCGCTCAATAACACCACTTTTACCGACTCATTTGATGAAATACACGCAACTTTCAATGATGAAATTAAGAAATCTACGTACATCATAAATCCCAATAAATCACCCAAAGTGTGGTGGGATCCCATTGTGGAAAAAACACACAGACTTCAAGTTGCAGCACAAAAGACGTATGACATGTTCAACAACAACATCAACGCCTCAAATCTCATTAACGCTAAAAAAGCCTTCCAAAATGCTGTTAAATTTGCCAAAAACAAAGCATTCAAAACGAGAATTCATGATCTCAACAGGGAACCAAATTCAAAATCACTCTTTAAATTTGTTAGAGGATGCAAAAACTCTTCAACAACAATCTATCAAACCAAATGGTCCTCCGATAATGATAAACAATTCTTAATACATCTAAGGGACCAAGTCCCAAATAATTCCCCTATACTGCTCCCGCTTACCAGTTCCAATACACCGGACTCTTTTTCCTATGATGAATTTAACAATGTTCTAAACAAAAAGAAGAAACCATCTGCAGCAGGCACAGACGGGGTAACATATGAAATGATCAACCATTTGTCAGAAATGGCCAAAAAAAATTTGCTAAAAGCCATGAACAATGCGTGGAAAAAGTGCAATTTTATGATGGAATGGAGGAAAATCAAAATTGTTCCTATCCCAAAAAGAGGTAAAGACTTGGAAATCTTTACAAACTACAGGCCAATTGCATTGATATCGGTTTTCGCCAAAATTATTAACCTGATGGTGAAGGAAAGACTTCAGGATTTTCTAGACCAAAACAGAATTTATCCACAAAACACATATGCATATAGAAAAAACCTATCTGCCTCTATGTGCATAAACGATTTGTTACATACAATTAACTGTCAAAAAGAGCAAGGTGATAAAGTCATCATTGTATCATTAGACATCAACAAGGCGTATGAGTGTGTCAAAATAGAATTACTTTTCCGAATTTTAAATGAGCTCTCCTGTCCTAAAGAAATTTCTATGTGGATCATAAATTTTCTAAAACAAAGGACTCTAGTCATGGGCAAAGAAAGTCTGGAAATTTACAATGGTCTCCCTCAAGGCAGCTGTCTAAGTCCCACACTCTTTAATATATACACACTCGGTTTACATGGCATAAACAATCAACATACGAAAACATTTCAGTTTGCAGATGACTTTATAATTCTGTCAACACATAAAGATTTTAATATCGCCAATGATAACCTTCAGATAAAAATGGATGAATTTTGTGGTATTCTTAACAAGTTAAATCTTTCAGTCAACATCGATAAAACAGCGGTAATGTATATTGCTAAGGGTGCTAGAAAAATACCAAAAATTACACTTCAAGGGACTTTAATAAACGCAGTGGAAAAGATAAAATTTTTAGGAAGACACATCAAAAATAGTCTGACTATTAAAAATCATTACGATGAAGTAATCAAGTCTTGCAACACAACTTTAAATGCTCTAAAAATGATAAATTCTCTCAAAGGTGGAATTCATCCCAAAATATCAATAAATCTGGCAAAATCACTCCTCTTCTCTAAATTGGAATACTCTATTTCATCTATGGCACACATGCCTAATCATGTCAATAAAAAACTGAAAACATGTCAAAACCAAATTTTAAGGAAAAGCCTAGGATTAACGCCTTCAACACCTATTCATGTAATATACGCCTTGGCAATTGTTCTGCCTCCAGAATTTCGCTCGCAATACCTTGCCGCCAAAGAGCTTCTAAAATTCAAAATATTTCAACAGGAAACATATCAAAAATTCACGTCAAACCCATCGAATAAATCTAGTCTTGGTATGATATACAACAAATTCAAAAACGTGTTTGACAATACTATGATATGTCCGTCCGAATCCCCAGGGGAGAAAGTTTCATTTGTTATGAACATGTTTAATGCCCCAAAACAATCACAAGCTAAAGAGTTCTTCAATAGCATATATCTTCAACATCTCAGCCAATTCAAATCAAATGGAACATCAGTTTGGGCAACCGATGCCTCGGTCATTGGCAACAAAACTGGCTGCGGAGTTTGCAACATTTCATCGAATGAAAACTTTCTTTTCAAAATAAACTCTAAATGTTCCTCCCTGATGGGTGAGCTTAACGCCATTAACAAAGCCGTTGACCTCATGATTGAAGACGGCATACAAAAAGCAGTAATCTTCACCGACAGTAAAAATGCCTGTTTGCTACTAAAGAACAACACATCACACAATTACTTAGTCAACATAATCAACAAAAAAGTTAACTCCTCAAACTTAAATCATCTTACCCTGGTGTGGGTCCCATCACACGTTGGAATCTCCTCAAATGAGCGTGCTGATTACTTTGCTAAGCAAGCCGCTGATGTTGGATGTGTTATTCCATCCAGTCTAGCTATCAAAGACGCCTGTTCGACAATTTACGATGCCCTATGGAATGAATGGGTTAACAAATACAGATTACTATCAATTTCAAAAGGCACTTACTTTGCGCAATTTTTTCCATCGCCTCCCAAAAGGTACTGGCATTCTGATTGGCACTTAGAACCTGGAGAAATAAAACTAATTAATCGCTTACTTGCTGGTCACACATACTCAAAAGTATACCTTCACCAAATAAAAGCAGCAGACACAAATCTCTGTCCAGTTTGCAGTGTTCCTGAAACGGAAAATCATTCAATATTTATATGCAAGAAATATGACCACCTGAGAAGTGAATTCAATTTTTTCAACAATTACAACAACTTACCTGATCTTCTGAAAAACCTCACCAAAAATATTATCAACGAACTTTGCAACTTTATCCACTCAGCACATTTAGAATTGTAAACAAACCAATACGTCATCACTCTTCTCAAATCATCAATCAATATATTCACAAAGTGAACCAACATGATTACTCATTTTGTAATACTCACATAACCAAAATAACCAGCCTTGGTACATAGGTACTACGGGTACCTATCCAACAATCAACCAAAATCCAAAAAAAAAAAAAAAAAAAGATAAAGGGAAGATGGCCTGACCTTTTGCTTATCGGACAGTTCATATTTAAATGGAACTTGTAATAACGAAAAACGATTTATCTGTCCGACAACATCACTTTTTAATCTATCGGGAAGATGTAATAACGGGCCATAAAGTACAAGACTAAATTCGTTCTGTTAAACTTTCCGATTGCAATCATTGTTAGAAACCTATTCATTAACAATCATTGCAGCTTTTAACGTATCATTTCCTTTTCTATCAAAAAAAAATCTTATTTGATTTTTCATACTTCTTATCTAATTTCAATTGTTTATATTCGCTAAATTTGTTGGATAGATCGTTTATGATCTTGGCTGGAGCAATGGGTGTGAGAGGGAGAGACTTTCAGTCACTTGGTGCTATCATTTCTCAGTGAATTCAATAAAATACAGAGTTGTATAAAATGATACCTGCCTTGGACTTTTGACGTATAAAAAACACAACTCTGCTCGATACCATTTACATATATAACACATATATACAAATATACATTATATACATAATTGTCAAAAATCTTTTTGTATTTTGTATATTTTTAAAATTATTTTCGGTATTTAATTAAAATTGTGGCATGTTGAATGTGAATTACGTTGTCGCCTACAAAAGAAAATCTAAAAAGGGTTACTGCCAACAACTTTAGCATTCGAACGGATGATTTTGTGCAGAGGGAAAGTTTGATGTAGACGACCAACCGACCGACCGACGAAACAAACAAAGAGACGTCACATACAACTTACACAGCCAACAACGTAAAAAATCAAAACTGAGCTTCCACCAAGTCCAAGACAGCCAATATGGACTATGTGTATTGTGGGGATCCTAATGATCCAATTGCAGGAGAAGAAATGCTAAGTAAGTTATTGTTGTTAACGTTGCTGTTTGTTGTACTGTTGGTTTCATGTACATATTTGTTTTTGTTTTTAGACGTCTACGATGGCACTCGATCAGCGAACCATTACTCCCCAAATTTTGGTGGCTTTAATCTGGGCTCCGAACCAGACTATATGGAAATGGTTCCCATATTGGCGGATGGCGGTGAAAATTTTGGAGTTTCAGCGGTTACTTTTGACAATTATGAAGAACTCTTGTGGATGGGCAATCAAGGGGTAAATATAAATAATACTTATATACCTTTTCGTATATCCTTTAAGGGGAATTTGCAAATTTTAGGGTCACGTAACATCGTATTATCTTAGCAACACTTTGCAAAAGTACACATCATTCCAAGTGCATCCTTCGGATATCGTGCGCCAAATATCTACAATTGATTCCGGCATATTGGCTTTGACCCAGACTTCGTTGCGACATCAAATACGCCGAGGAATTCCGAAATTTACACACAAGTCTAAGCACATGACAGAGATGGTGTGCATGCAACAGTTGTCGCCGCATCGTTTGATAATGGCTGGCCTTCAGGATGAAATGATCGATTTTGATTTGAGAACATTAAAGGAAACCAAATTGGTAAGTGGAAAAGGGAGTTTTGTGTGCTAACATTTTTAAAATTTAATTTCTGCTTGCTCCTTAGGAACATGTGGGCTCCGCTGGATGTACAGTTTTGCGTCAAAACTCCCGCTTTCTCTTCGCTGGCGACCCCTTCGGAAATGTAACTTTGCGCGACCTTAATTCTCTGCATGTTGAACATACCATAAAGACCCATACAGGAAGTCTTTCGGATTTCGATGTTCAAGGCAACTATTTGATATCCTGTGGCTACAGTGGCCGTCAAGGCACACTTGCTGTGGATCGCTTCCTTATGGTTTATGATTTACGTATGCTGCGCTTAATTTCTCCGATTCAAGTGTTAATTGATTCACAACTACTGAAATTTTTACCATCACAAACTTCCCGTTTGGCTGTGGTTTCGAGCTATGGCCAAGTCCAGTTAGTGGATACGGTGGAATTAAGTGAGCCACGTGTATCTATGTATCAGATCAATACCACGGGTACTCCTTGTTTGCTAAGTTTTGATGTTAGTTCATCGTCGCAAGCTCTGGCATTTGGTGATCAATCGGGACACATTAGTATTATGACGGCAGTAAATGTAGCCCAGCCACAATTCAACAGTTTTTCGAGAGAAATTGAGTTTCCCGATCCCTTGCCCCAGTTGCCGATTGTGCCGATAACGGATACTACATTCCCCCTTTCGTCGATTGTATTGCCACATTTGGTTACCGGATCTCGTTGGTTCTCCGATTGGCCAGCGGAGTTGCTCAACTATCAGTATCGGCGCCCCAAGCCCATTGATGCAGAAATATTGAATCATATGAAAATGCAAGGTCCCATTGGCTATTCTCCCAACCCTCGCACCCAGAGGCGCAACCAAATACCCTACATTATAGAGAATGCCAGTGGAATTACTGGTTCCGGAAATGGACTCACGAACACAATTAAATCTTCCGATCCCGGTGTCAAGATCATACCGAGACGCTATCGGAAAGTTGAATTAAAATATTCTAAATTGGGAACACAAGATTTCGATTTCGAACAACACAATCAGACATGTTTTGCAGGGCTGGAGGCCACCTTGCCGAATTCCTATTGCAATGCTATGCTTCAGATTTTGTACTTCATTGAACCGTTGCGACAAAAGCTATTGGAACATCGCTGCAGCAAGGAGTTTTGTCTTACATGTGAATTGGGTTTCCTCTTCAATATGTTCGACAAATGTACGGGTATGTGTGAGTTTTGTCCATTGCTTGCAGTGATTTGCTATTGATTTTTTTCATAACATTGATTCGGTAACAGCATCCACACCATGCCAGGCCAGTAACTTTTTGCGTTCTTTCCGAACTGTGCCGGAAGCATCTGCATTGGGACTTATTCTGTCGGATCGTTCGTCCAATGTTAATCTAATGAATTTGATACAGGTACTGGGGTAAGAGAAATAAGGCCAACTATTTTAAATTGACATGGAACTTATTTTTCAGAACTGGAATCGTTTTATTTTGCATCAAATGCACTACGAGATTCTGGAGTCAAGCAAAAATGGTCATCTGAACCATTCGAAATACGGCAGTGTTGGTAAGCATCAATTTGGCTTTGAAATAGTTCAGGTTAGTAATTTAAAAATTTTCCAAAAGGTAAAAATTCTGTGGACATTGTGACCGAGGAAACGGAGGAAATCTTCCAAGGCATCGATGTTAGAAATGGTAATTTGTGAAGTGTTTTAAAATTCAGTCTTGAAAAGTAATATTTCTTCGAATGCCTTCAGATGAAGCTGCAAAGGATGACCAGGACCATGAGGCACGCGAACGTAGTAAGGTGAACACAGAAACCGACATTAGTCGTCTGTTCGGCACAAAGCAAACAACCGTAAATCGCTGCCTTAAATGTAACGAGGATAAGACAAAGCAGAGTATTTTATTGACATGTAACCTTAGCTATCCGCATGGCTCGAAGGAGACTGAGTACTTTAGTTTTGGTAGCATACTAAAGGGCTCTTTGAGTTCGGAGAAGAGCATCCAGGCATTCTGTGAAAATTGCAAAAAGTTTTCGCCCACAAAACAAATGGTCAAGGTATGTTTTTTTTTACTGGAACATATTATTTGGCGGGAAATAAAAAAATTTCCATTTTTTATTATCAACATCAGGTTACAAGTCTTCCACAAATATTGACGGTAAACTGTGGTTTGAATAACGAAAAGGATTTGGGTTTTCTGAGAAGACATTTGCAACGTAACAATTTTAATTTATCCGAAAGCCCAGCTACATTGAACACCAACAAACCCTGTCGTTATGGCATCAATTGTTCACGCAGTGACTGTCATTTCCTGCATCCTGATCGTAAATCGCCGTCTATGGCCTCCAGTACCCAGCAACAACCGGCAAACGTCAACATATCTCCAAGTGGAAGGCAAACTTCATGGTTTCCCCTGTCGTTTTCAATGTCTCTAAATGATCAGGGAGAGTTGAGTGTGCAAACCGAGAATAGCAACACCAAGCTGGCAGTGGAATCCAGTGAACGTAACCCAAAAAGCAATGGTAAGTTTAGAGACAGACAATGTATTTATTTCAATATTGAATTTTGTCTTTATAGAGATTCCCAGTGGTGTTACCGAATCGTATCGTGAATATGCCCTACATGCCGTTGTCTGTCAAATTGATGATGGAACTCAGAAAAATCTGGTTTCTCTAATAAATGTTAGCAAGAAATATCACACCATGAAAATGGAGACCATGAACGGCTCCGAGGAGCAACAACAGTGGTATATTTTCAATGACTTTTGGTAAGAATCGAATTCCAAACACCAGGCCAACTCTAAAGTGTATTTTGCAACTTTTGATTTTTGCTCTTAGTATTTCGCCCGTCTCAAATCAGGAATCAGTTTGGTTTACATTGGATTGGAAAGTGCCTTGTGTATTGTTTTACAGCAGTGTCAACACAGAGAAAAACGAAATACTGGAGTGCATGGTCGATATACCGCACAACGAGCCGCAACCATTGTACAATCCATTCTTGGAGGTATTTTGAGAGTTAGTCTAGTAAAATAAAATTTATTGATTGAATGTCTTTTTTAAATCTTATTCAAGGATATTGAGAATGTGGCCCATGGCAGTAATGCCGGTGATCCGTTGTTTAAACCTCTTCAGTCCCATGAAATGCCCCAGGCCGGGGATTTGGTGGCCATGGATGCGGAATTTGTTACCCTAAATCCGGAAGAGAATGAGTTACGTCCAGACGGCAAAACAGCAACCATAAAACCATGTCACATGAGCGTGGCGCGTATTTCATGTATTCGAGGGCAAGTATTACTCCTCATATTTTTGGAAGAGAATCATTTTCATTGTTTTTTTTTTCTCCTTTACAGACAAGGCCCAGATGAAGGTGTCCCCTTCATCGATGACTACATATCTACCCAGGAAAAGGTTGCCGATTATCTGACCCAATTTTCGGGCATAAAACCGGGAGACTTGGATGCCAATTTCAGCAACAAACGTCTAAACAGCATGAAAAATTCATATCAAAAACTAAAGTATCTGGTGGATGTGGGAGTCCTGTTTGTGGGCCATGGTTTGAAGAACGATTTTCGGTATGTTTGTACACAAAAATTTGTATTCAACTCATTATTTAAATACGTCTATATTCCAGCGTCATAAATATATTTGTACCCTCTGAGCAAATCATTGATACTGTCCACCTGTTCCACTTGCCACATCATCGCATGGTATCATTGAGATTTTTGGCTTGGCATTTTCTGGGCACCAAAATCCAATCGGAAACTCACGATTCGGTGGAAGATGCCCGCACCACATTGCAGCTGTACAAACACTATCTGCAGCTGCAGGCGGAGAAGAAATTCCTGGCAGCCCTTAAAAATCTCTATGATCGTGGCAAGCAATTGCAGTGGAAAGTACCGGAAGATTAGAAGGAGCATTTAACTTAACTTTAGTAAGGAAACATTGGAAAAAATCCCGTCGTAAATTTGAAAAAAAAAAAAAAGAAAACAACAAAGTACAAAATGACACTCAACTGAACCGTACCGCGAGCAACAAAATTGTTATTCCATTTTAAATGACATTTCGGCACATTATTAAAAAACAAAAAAAAAAAAAACATTTTTCTATAACTTTTACACAAATCAACAAAAAATCTATTATTGTATTTTTTGTTTATCTTTCGTCTGAGACACCAACCAACCGACCGACCGACACACAAATAATGTCCGAATAAAAACAATAAGAATGTGGTCAAATTTATATTAAAACAAAAACTGAAAAAAAAAAAAACGCATACATACATATATTTATTCATTTAAAGTGTAAATCAATGGACATCAAAATCAAGAAAAATACATTTTAAAGCAAAGTAAACAAATCTATAAATTGAATCAGTGCATTTCATTTCAATATCGGAAATAGGGTAGAAAAAAGGATCAATGGGAATTGCAAGTTTGTTTTTGGGATGGGGTTTTTATTTGTTTTTGTTTCTCTTACAAAACGCAGTTTTGAACATTCAATGTGGTTTGATCAACACGGCCCACACAAGCTCGACGTAAACGATTATGTATTTCGAAAATATATTCAAGTCTACATCAAATCCGATTGCTTATATCGCACAGCAGTATATAGGCAGCAGCATCCTTATATATTGTCATAGTCTTCGTCCAGTTCCAGACAGGAACTGTTACCACTATTTACCACTGTGCTAGTCGTCATGGTTGCAGCAGGCTTTACGTTTGCCGAAGAGGAATCGAATGGCTCCGCCATTGCTGTTTTGGAATTACGAGATTGTTGTGGGGTGGTGCCAATGCTTATTGTGGCCACCGGAGGTGTCGATGATTTTGTGTTTGTGCCGCCAACTGTCGTCACAATATTTGAGAGGTCAATATTGATAACTGGTTCTGCTGTAAAATTGAACGCGCTAGCATTGCTGGACATACTGGCGGGCGCACTCATGGGAGCCGATGTCGCCGCATTCGAAGTGATTTGTGGCAAATTGCTGTAGTCGATTTTTACCACAGGCTTATTGCAGTAGTCAATGCTAACAATTGGTGCGGGTATGGCAGTCTGTTGTGAGGGCGGTCGTAGTTGCTGTGGAAAGTTATTTGGTTTGTTATTGTTGCTCGAAATGCAACTAGACGGCATTGAAAATGATTGATGTTTCAGTCGTGGATGTGACGACGCTGGCGGCAGCGTGGACGTTTGTTTTTGGGGATGTGTAGGAGGTGGAGGAGGAACTGGAGTTGATTCGGAACGTGAAAGCTTTGGCGGCAAACACTCTGTTGAACTGTAACCAACTCCAGTGGCATTTGCCAACGATGTGGTATGCATAATAACGGAATTGGCATTGGAACTCACTGATCTCTTTAAATAATTTCTGGGATACTCGTGGCCATGTCCACCATTTTGACCATTTGTTGCCATACCCTGATGATGTTGGCGTGTCAACGAACTCCTTACCGCGGATGTTGATGGCATACTCAAGTCAAAGGGTGTATCCGAATCGCCATATGGATCATCTGGAGAACTGTGATTGTCTTCCTCAATATAATTCGCCGCCTCTTCTGCTACACTGATGTCTGGTATATTCCTTACCAGTTCGCGTAGAAAATCGAAGCGTTGTTCCGACATAATGCATTGTTTCATGTGTGATGTTGACAGCGTCTTGGCATTACGTGAATTGGTAATCTTTAGGGTCTTTGTTAAAAGTGATTCCACAAACAGCTCTAATGTCCTAGGTAAACAGAAGAAAAAAATAAGAGTTGGACCAAAAAGCCCACAATATTTGCACAGTTAAGGAAAACACAAAACACAATTGAGGCACACTTCTGAAATACTTAAAAAAAATAATGGGAAAAATGAAATTTTCATTTCTGTTTTGAAAAGGATATAGATTATGATGGGTACAGCTTGAGCCACTTTGCCGACTTCCTCGTCACTTTGCATGATTTTTTTGATGCGTCCCTACGATTAGAAAAAGAAAACATAAACGTATTTAAAATCATTTTGCAATTTTCAGAAATCATAACAACTAGCTATTGTTGTTTGTTGTGCCAACCGACCGCCCGTCATCCCCTAAAAACATAATTCATTGGCTTGGCTGTTGTTTGTTTTACTAACTAAATGAAATGTTTGTATGTCTGTCCCTCAGCCGCAGCAACACAACAACTTACCACTGGAAAACGCGCATTATACTTTTTCTTCTTGGATGGCATTTTCCGAGTATTTGGTTGTGGGAACGAAATGCAATGGGCAAAATGCACCTCCAAGCCACCAAATTGATATCTCAAAAGCGACTCTTGATTGTTTCCGTACTTCCTTCGCGTGTTCTTCCTTCTCTGACAGTTGCAAAAGATTCTTCTTCTTACTTTAGAAGCAGTTCAGGCTTGTATTATCATTTGGCCACTTGGACACATAGGCAATCCATATGACCCAGTTTTGTTTTGACGTCCAATAATTGGATATTTTGTATTCTATTTATTTAGTTTTTTTTTAATATTTTTTTAATATTCTAAAAAAGTAAATTTATGCACTGACAAGTCGAAGTCAACTATCGATAAGTCGATTGCTGAGGGGAAAATATCGAATGTTAGTTTCAGCGTATTAAGATGTGTTTACACCAAACTCGTGATTATGATTTATATTAGATGGTGATATAGGCAAATACATCACGATATACACATGGTAAAATTAAGACTATCCATCTCTGCATTTTCTGTAATTTACCTTGTAATTTTTAACTGAATAAAATACAGTTTCTTATCTCTTGTTTCTGTGTATACAATGGATTTATAAATATAAATTTTTACAATGAGATTTTGTCAAATGGATTATTTTGAAAAAATTGTAAACATTTGATTGCATTACTTTACTTTCTAAATTCTAAAGAATAAAGGTAGCGGCATCGACACAGCTGCTGGGACAATGATCTGTCAAACCAATTTTGGAAACGAACATTTTGAATGTAAAATTATCCAAATTTGTAAAAATTGGTGAAAAAACATATTATAAGAACCTCCGATAGACGTCGTATATGAAAACATATAAAATAATTTATATATTTAAAAAATAAAAACATTAAAAAATTTTTGACATATATATGCTGGACAATGAACTGTCAAACCAATTTTGGAAATGAAATTTTTGAATGACAAAATATTTATTTTGGTTAAAATTGTTGAAAATTACATATCATAATCAATGATTGTAAGAAACGTAAAATGCAGGGTGCGGATTGAAGGTAATAAGAATTTTTGGCTTAAAATTTAAGGATTGAATAGTCTGGATCATATTTTTTGGAAATAAATCCAGTCGTTTCATTCACCTTTCGGCTTAAAAAATGAGGAGAAAGATGAAGATATTGAACACAACGTATAATTTTGAACCATTCTAATAGGAAGTGGGTTTAGCCTCAGGGCTGTATTTCTGTAGTTTTATAAAGCTGTTCTACCTCCTTATTGTACCATACGTTTTTCATCTGTTTGGTAGCGTCATTATTTTCGATATCATTTTTTCGTTTTTACTATCAACGCCTTTTTTGGTAAAATTATGTATTTTTCCTCCTAAAATCGATGAAATAACCCTTTCAAATATTTTCTCATTTTTTGCAATTAAGCCAGAACTCAGTTGCAATGTCCCGTGTAAACTTCATATTATAATCGGTTCAGCGGTAACATCGACAAAAATCGATTACGATTTACGCAACAATAGGTGTGTTCCTTCATAATACTATATTTCAACTCGCAATTGACATTTAACAAATGTCTTAAGGGAATTGAGAGAGCTGCTTTGTCAAGTGGATGACAAAGAGAGTACTGGTAATTATTACAGCGATAACCTGCTTTATGTTTTTAATGAATATGAATAACCAACTTTTCGTCACATTTAGTATCAGAATTATCTAATGACAAGGTAAACGAACAAACCCAATATCGAAAAAAACCAAGGAGAAGAATTATTTTTGCATGCTTTTCACAACGGAGACGAACTGACGACTTTTGTCATATATGTCATATAATACCAAAAAGGATCCTTGTAAGGCAAACGCTTGTAGGATACAAGCCTGTTTGAAAGGTAAATATAGCATTGTTTCCGTTGTTTGTTTCTGCTGTAATGTTATGTAATGAAATTGTTTGCTTGTTGTTTTTTTTTTTAGAAAACAATTACCAGGAAGAAAAGTGCAAGGAGGTGTTGGAACAAATGCGAATTTGCTGCCTGAAGTGGCACCAAACGTCATTGTGTTGCTCTGGTATCGATTTAAACCGGTCATATCTATCCGACGAGGAACCTCAAAAAGAAAAACAGTAGTTACAAGTTATTTGAGGTGGGTACTTTTGTGAGATTAAAGAGGCACTTGCCGGCATCGTGAATTGGAAAATAAAATTGAAAGTAATGTGCAAGACATGACATTCTCGTGTCGTCTAAATCAGTCAGACACAGAAACATTTCATTTGCTTTTTGCTTTGGAGCACTTGGGAAAGTGCGGATTCCATTAATAATTTTTTTATTAAATTCTTCTATGCCTGCTTATGCACGATTATACATATCCCTTGCTGTAGGATATTAGTAAATCGTACTTCTTCATACTTCCCAAATATTTTTCTTTTTTCTTTCTTTTTCTTTCTTTTCTTTTTTAATATCCACATTTTTTGAAATCTTTACTTTCAGATAAATAATGCAAACGCCGCCATACAAACCACCCAAAGAATTGCAAGACATTCTAGACCAACAGGCTACACAGAGAAAACGCACCGCTCAGTTGCCAAAGCGTAACTGGATTCAAAGAAATCCTCGTGCCTTTCAATTGACTTTCATTACCGGATCACTGTTGGTCCTGTTCTCCCGACCATTGTACGACATCTTCTTCGAGACCTCATTTGCGGCCCCCGATTCAGTTGTATTTGAAAAACGTCACAAGTAATGGAATCGGTGCGTAAGGCGAAGCAACGTTTGCGCAACTATCCAATATTGTTAGGAAAATGTGCCGAATCGGCTACAGTCTATGCAGCTTGTGTAACGAGGGATTTGAATGTTCAACACAAAACCTGTGACAAAGAGTTTCAATTATTTAAAGATTGTTTGAAATCGGCTGCCAAAGAAATGAAAACTAAATTATAAATTTGCAAACCATAAAAAAACGAAAAAAGTGAATTTTGCCAGTCTGAAAACCAAAGGGGATCAATTAAACCTGCTAATCTATTATTTGAAATTAGTGGCGCATTACTACATCACACTGTCCGTTAAAGATGGGAGGACCATTAGTGCTTTATCATAGAATCAAAGAACATTTACTAACCATAACATTCCGTTCACATATCATACTGTCAATACTAATACGCATTTGTTTGATTATCTATGGCCAATTTCAAGATAAACACGCCGAGGTGCCGTATACGGATGTGGATTACATTGTGGTCACTGATGGAGCCCGGCAAATGCTGCTGGGCAACAGCCCTTTCCGACGCCATACCTATCGCTACAGTCCCATATTGGCCTTTATGCAAATACCCAATGTGGTGGTGTATCATGAAATGGGTAAATTTATCTATGCCTGCTTTGATATACTAGTGGCCCTGCTCATATATGTTATAGTACGCAATGAGCTACAGTCACAATGCAACAAGGCTGTGAAATGTCTTCTCACCAAGTATGGCAGGGGATCACAATTTTCATCGAAACTGAACTATGGGGATTCTGATTCGCGCAACAGTCCCGAGAAGGTTGCCAAAGCATCTGCCTGCTTTTGGCTATACAATCCTTTGACAGCCGTCATCTCAACGCGTGGAAATGGTGATAGTTTTTCCAGCTTCTTTGTTATATTCACTTTATATTTAATTATTAAATCAGATGACTGTAGCAATAGTGTTAGGAAACGTAATTGGTTGATATTTGCAGCCGGTCTGGTCCATGGCTTTGCCATACATTTACGTTTGTATCCTCTATTGTTTAGCTTAGCTTATTTTCTGACATTATCCAGTAGATTAGTGAAATCGATTAAAGACTTTATGCGCGTAGTTCTATTTCCCAATATCCAACAATTAATCTTAATCTTAGGAACATTATTGAGTCTGGTGCTAGTAACAGGTCTCTTCTATAGACTCTATGGCTGGCAATATATTTATGAAGCTTATTTGTATCATTTTGTGCGCAAAGATATACGACATAATTTTTCGTTATATTTTCTCATGCAATATTTAGGTAGTGGCGACAGTGGTCAAGCAATGAGTCCGGGTGGCCTGCAAAAACTGCTTACTTTGCTGCCACAAATCCTTTTGATACTATATTTAAGTGTAGGTTTTGGACAATTTCGCCAGACCCTGCCATTTGCCATATTTGCGGTAGCCTATACAATGGTCACTTTTAATACCGTGGTAACATCACAATATTTCATTTGGTATTTAGCCCTGCTGCCACTCTGCATCAATAACTTCCATGGCATGTCGCTAAGACAATGCAGCATGTATTTCGGCATATGGTTGGTGTTTCAAGGTCTGTGGCTACTACCCGCTTATTTGTTGGAATTCAAGTCGTGGAACACATTCTATTGGATTGGCCTACAGGGTGGCGTGTTCTTTGTTGTGAACAATTTTATATTGGGACGTTTAATAGAAAATTATAGCTTTACACCGTTTAAGATAAACTTGAAGAAACTTTTCTAAAATGACAAAACATGAATGATAGGTATTCAATAATAGTTATATTAAAAAAAAGAAAAACATAGCATTCAATATACATATTTACCTTAAATCTATAACGAACATGTATTATATTTCTTCCCACATTTTTTTATATAATGAAATAAAGTAGAAATGAAGATAAAATAATAATAATAATAAATAACCAATACTTTACACAACAAATAGCCGCTAAGAAATCTGTAGTTTAAAGAGATTTTTTTCATCCTCACAAAGCATTCAATGTTACAGTTGGTACTTCTTAATCGAATATTGGCACTGGCCTGTTAGTATCCCATATTGCCAGGTTTATTTATATACCTTACAACGCGATTCGTATTCGTTGTAGTGTGCAAATTTCCCAGAGCTCTTCTACACCTCAAGACTGCATCGGAATAGATTGTATAATATTCAATGCCTCTAATGCCTTGGATATCCAAATAAATATACAGGGTGAGATGAAAAAATTACAACCAACTTCAGACTGCTGTCATTTCTAAGCTACTCGTCCGACAGCTATTAAAATTATACCGATGACAGCTCATTATATCGTTTACAAGCGTACAAAAGCTTTTTGGTAAGAATTTTCCCGGAAAAAAGTTATTCGTGATGGAATTCAAGCGTGATAGTGTGATTTCTTTATATTTGGGGGGAAAACCAAAAGTGGCTATCGTTGGAGCACTCCAGCATTTAAACGTGAATAAATCTTTTGTGTTTCGTACCATCGCTCGTTACCGATTACGTGATATTGGTAGCGTAGCCTGGCGTCAAGGAAGTGGACGGAAGAAAACAGCAACATCAGCAGAAATGGTTTTAAAAGTAAAGAAGCGACTTTATCGAAACCCGCGTCGCAGTGACCAAAAATGGCTCGGGAGCTGATCACATCGCAATATTCCATTCGGCAAATAGTGAAAAATATTCTCGGGGTAAAGCCATTGAAATTCCAAAAAGTGCAAGAACTTACAGCGCATCAGAAAGAAAATAGACTCAAAAGAGCTAAAGAGTTGCTTCGCTTGGCCGAAAGTGGTGAACTGCCGAATTTGGTTTTCCCCGATGAGAAAACATTCGTTGTCCAGCGGTTTGTAAACAAACAAAATGTCACGCTCGTGTTTACTTACCAAAGAGGTCAGCTGAAAATGTGCACCTTCGGTTGGCCACCAGAACTCAAGCGCCGGCCATGGTGATGGTGTGGGCCGTCATAACAGCCGCTGGTCGCTCTCTGCTCGTATTAATCGCCCGTGGCATCAGAATAAAAGCTGAATATTATCGCGAAAATGTTCTGGAGGATGTATTAAAGCCTTGGGCACGCAAACATTTTGGCCGCAGACCTTGGACATTCCAACAGGACTCAGCACGCGCCACCCAAGAATGGTTACAAAATGAGGTGTGTCTGGAGTATTTTGCGAGGTCGGCACTAAAAAATTCCAAAGTGTCAATCACCTCAAGCAAGCGCTTCGCCGAAAATGGGCCAAAATACCGCAGAGCAACATTCGGCCACGGTGTGACGGTTTCATGGGTCGTTTGAAAGCCTTAATTCGTGCCAGAGGTGACCAATTCTAACAAATCTAAATGTATTCTAAAACTTATGGTTTTTCTGATTTCTTTTTGCTTTCATTCAATAAAATTTAAAAAAATGTAAAAATTACGGCATTTGACTTTGTTGCAGTTTTTTTTATCTCACCCTGTATACTGCATAAATGGTTTTTATATTGCTTGTTTTCACAAAATATGACAGGAAGTGCAGAATGAACCGGGTCCCAATTTTTTGCATCACAATAGAAGAGCGTGTGAGAGCATGGCCACTGAATTACAGTAATTTCCGTATAATGTATACAACATACTATCTTGAATACAATCTCTCGAAGTTGTACAACCAGTTGTATTGTGTGTGGCTTGCATTATAAATAGGGGAACAACTCTAGTTTAGTAAAAACTCTTTTATTTTTTCGAAATTTTTTTCCAGAGGTAGGTATTTTTACCCTGATTCCGGGAAACAATTTTTTCTTGGGACGCGAACCGGGGTCTCAAATTTTTACCCGAAAGTGTGGGTTCAAGACGCGTTGAAACCGGATCCCTTTACCCAATGTAGAAAATACAGGCATCGTTCTAAAATCTTTATGCGGAAGAAGGCGACTATCTGCCGAACAAATCAAATCCAATTTAGGCAGAATTTCCTATTGCTGTGACGTTGAGTGATGAATGCATCAGCTGCTTGCCTGCTGTCCGCGCGTATCTTGTAGATTCATTTCATTCGTTTTTTGTTTTCTATATTTTTTTAAATTTGCTTTTAGTTGTCTTCATGTTTTTATCATAACATCACCGTTCCCTCCCACCGACGTTAGGTTTAACAAAAAGCACAATTTTTTGTTTTGATAGAATAACAAAAGAACAGAAAAAAAACATGAATATTGTTGATCAATTTCTTCGGAATAATTATATTTTGGCCATTTGTGAGGATGCAATCTGCAAGAAATCGTTCACCCTAAATTTGTCACATTTCAAAATGACCGAAGTTCCAGATTTGGTGGAAAAATGTGAAGTTCTACTAAAACTATTTTTGAATCGTAACCAATTGACCAGGGTATGCGGACCATATTTCAAACAGTCTTGTCTTATTGAATATCAAATAAAGTGCAACAATTCCCCTTAGATGCCATCGTTCATGATCAAATTTACAAGTCTACAAATACTAACATTGGACTACAATCAACTGAGTGAATTTCCCCGGGAGTTGTGTCAACTGATAAGCCTGAAATCATTAAATATTAGCTGTAATGCCATAGCAAAATTGCCACGAGAAATTTGTCAATTAACGCAATTGGAAACGTTTTGGTGCAATAACACCGGCCTATTGGAATTGCCGGAAGAGTTGGGAAACTGTGATAGGCTTGAGACATTGGGTGCCAGAGGGAATCTATTACAACAACTGCCTGCAAGTATTTCCCGTTTAAGAAGGCTACGTTGGCTAACATTGGAAAATAATCGCCTAACAACAATACCCGATTCATTGGGGGAACTGACAAATTTGGTACATTTCAATGTGAAATCCAATCGCTTGACATGTTTACCAAATTGTCTCAGACATCTGAAGAAACTACAATATGTCTTTCTCAATTGCAATTGTATTTCAACATATCCAACAGATGATTTCCCCAAATCTTTGGAACATATACGTATGCTTAATATCTGTGATAATCCAGTGTGTGGTTTGCCATCTTTACATGAAAAACTAAAGGCATGTAGTACACGGCACAAATTGTTTGTTTAATTTCAATTTAAAACAATATTTTAATTATAGGAGCATAATAACATATTATATGAGAGTAACCAACAAGAGGATGTGACAAACAATGACCTGGCGGAACAGGAAAACAATCCGGATGACGAGGATGAAGAATATCAAACCGATTGGGAGAACTCAGTGGAAACAAGTGATTTAGATTCTACAGATTCAAGCAGTCCTGAAAATAATTTAGAGGTAAAGTATTTACTTTAATATAACTTTGCTGCCCTAACTTACTAGAAACTTTTCTTTTTTAGGACATATCAATTCTGATACCGGAACTATCACGTTACATTACAAATTTCAGTTAAAAACTGGGGAGGTTCTATGACATTTTATTCAAACAGGGAACTACAACAAAATTAGAGTAACCACGAAATTTAAGCAAATATTGCTTTAGCATACATAATATAGTACATAAATAAATGTAAATGTGCCACACATCCGCTTAGTTGGACATTTTCTTCATGAGATCTTCATCCTGCATGGACATGGCGGTTAGTTTTTTGCCAATCTTCTCATGGATGTCCAAATATTTGGCAACACAGCGATCAATGCAAACCATTTCGCCTTTACCTAAAGGAGAAACAACAAAAACAAAGTGTTTATTTTTTGGGAACTAGAGGTAAATAGAGTTAGGACTACTTACCCAATTCAGCCTCTCCATAGCGTGGTGGTATACACTTTTTGTGGCAAGCATTTGTCATGCGATTATATAAATCCGACATCATTTCAATTTCCATTTCTTGCATCATTTGCAATTTGGCCTGCTCGGCGGCACTCAGGTTCATCTGGGGCATAGCCATTGTAATTTAAGCACGTGTAAATTGTTCCCAATTGAAAAAAAGATAATTCTGTGTATTTGTTAGGAATGAGGGCGCGCCAAAAATGTCACTGCTTGACCTTTAAGCGTTGAATCGTCTCGTTCCAACTGATTCGTAATCTCCAATATTTGCCTTTTTCATGCGATCACGAATTTGCATATCCTCGTAACGACGTTTTTCCACAGATTCTTTGGATAGCACAAACGAATAGACGCCAACAGCAGTTAAAATAGTCCTATTCAAATGAAATGTGCAATATTATGTTAGTATTACAACTGGTTTTTCATAATTGCATGATAAATAAATGATAAGCTTACCAACCAACAGCAATTCTTCCAAAATTACCCAAAGACATTACTCCCGTTCGATTTTTGTTCCTATTTCAATGAACAAGTGTTAGCTGTTGTGACATAACCTCTTGAATGACAGCACAATGAGAGCGGCCTTGTTAAATGAGAACGTAAGCGGAGAAGCGTAAAAGCAGTGTTGCCGTTGGTTTGTATAAAACAATTAAATTGTGCGCAAAAAAATCGCCCACCACAATTCTTATTGGGGAAAAAATTCTTATTTTAGGTTTTGTTAAGTTTTAGAAATCCAAGTGTCAAAATTACTCCATTTACTGGAATTTTGAGTTATAATACACGCCATATATTTCTCTATTACATTTTTAGAGAAAAAAGAAAACAAAAAATACAAATTTTGCGCAACTTTGTTTTGACAGTTAGCTTGTTTTAACCTTTATCTTATTTCAGTATTTCATTGGAAAGAAAGTATTCAAAAATCCCTTGAACATTAATAACCACAAAAATGAAATACAACTTTTAAAAATACTCTTTATTTTATATAAATAATAACAACTATAAATTAAAAAATAATAATAATAAAAAAAAAAACAAAATAAAAAATATAATATTTAACAATGTAAGGAATGCATGATATATAAAATACTGTAATACTTTTACATAATAGTTATTATCGAAGAGAAAGTGTAGCAATGAAAAATACAAATTCGAGTGGTGACAGAGATCAGTTAAATGATAGAAAATATATATACGACTTGATGAAATAGTTTAAAGCTTGTTGTCTCGAAATGAGAGAGAGCGAACGAGAGATTCAATGCTATTAACTAGGCGGTATGGAAAAGGCTCTTTGGCCACGGCCATGATCGGGTCTCGAACCAAACCAACTCATTTTCCAGTTGAGGGTATCATGTAGGAGTTTCTCTTCTTCTTTTGTTAACTTAAGAAGAGTTGCAACGGCTCTTATCAAATGGCGGGCTTCAACCTAAAATTATATTTTTAGAGACTTACTTTTGTTTTTTTTTTTTACATTTGCTTACCTCACGGCTGGTGAGAAACTTAACTATAACATGTTTTAAATACTTGAAATTAACTTCATCCATTATAACACTACCTCCTTGTCCCCCAGCCGCAGCCGGGTCTATGGAAATGCAGTTTTGACAACGTGGATTTTCAGCAAGTGTATACTTCGCCTCCTTCCTGCCATCTGCAGATGACAATTCATCACTAATGCCCACGACTTTGGCGGATGTAAATTCTTTTTGCAGGGTCTTTTTCAAGTCGTTTACACGCTGGTTCAGAACTTTTATGGTCTGAAAAAAGTATGACAATTACTAAATGTTATTGGATTCTCTGGCTATTAGCAACATACCTTGTTCTTTTCAATTACATCCCTTTGCATTTCATCGAACTCCTTCAGTTTCTTGTCATTGGACGAGAGTGTGGTTTGCAATTCCTGTATGCATTGCTCCTTGGACTTCAGTTGGGATTCCAAATCCTTGTTAAGTTCATGTATATCATTTACTTCGTCCCGTTCTTGTCTCAGCTCTTTCTTCAATAATTCCTCGCTTTGGGAAATTTCGGCGTTTTTCAACAAGGCGGTTAGTTTTTCTTCTTTCTCTGCTTCCAACATCATTTGGGTTTCGTTTATTTGAGTCTGTAGGTCGGCTATTTGCTGTCTTAGGGATTGTGTGACATTTGCTGAGTTGGCCGCATATTCGCCGAAACGTTCATCGGCGGCTTCCAATCTGTTTTGTAACTCTTTATTTTGTAATTCTAGTGATTCCTATGTGAATATTACAACAAATATACGAAACAATTCAAAAATGATAAACATGGCGAAAGCGTTAAAGAACAAAGAAAGTCGCATTCTCTTTAAAATAACAAAACATTTTATTAAAAAAATAAAAACAAAATAAAATAAATAAAAACAAAGTTTGTGTACCTATATGCAAACGTAAGCATACATATTTTCTTTGGTGGTTTGGGTTAAAAAAGAAACTAATTTTGAAATATTTAATCTAAGCGTGCCAGTTGTGTATTTTTGCTGTTGTTGTTAGTCACATATCATCCCAGGATAAATCATCACCTTGCGGTGACATACTTACAACTTTACTGCGTTCGAACAGAATTTGCTGTTCATTTTCTTCGCGGCATTCTTTTAAGGCTGCATTCAGTTCATCGATTTCCTCCTCCAATAGCTTAATCTGTAACACACACAATTTGTAAATATCTTACGAATTGAAATAAAATTCGCACTCTATTACCTTATCATCCCTTTGTTTTATCTCCTCAGTGCTTTTAAGTAACTCAAATTCCAAATGCTTGACCCTTTCGATGAGGTCGTCTTTTTGTTTTAATATTTTTCGTTTTTCGGTGGTTTCCTCGGCGACTTGTTTGGACAAACGGCTGACCTGTGTTTCAAGTGCCAAATTTTGACCCATCCATGAACTTTTTATATCGGACAGTTGTAAATGGGCCTCTTCGAGACGTTGTTCCAAGTGCTTTCGCTCTTGTACCAAAGCTTGTAGCTTTTCATCTGTTCCAAATGTGCCGAGAGCTTCCAGGCGAGTCTGTTCAACAATTTGCAAACGCATTTTAAGGTGTCGATTCTCTTCTTCGATGGCAGCCAAGGTGATGGTCAAATTATTTTTTTCTTGTTGCGATGAATGCATCAGCTGTTGTAACTCATCCTGTTGGAGACATGCACAAAGTAAGTTTATGAATTTTGGTTAAGCCAGTTAAAACTCACCTTTATCTCTTCTAACTGGGGTTCACAGTGTTTAAGTCTTTCCAATTCCGATGTTAAATTTTCCACTTGTTGTTGATGTTGCCTCATGGCATTGAGACGATCGACCGCCTCCTGTTCTCTAAACGAAAGCAGATTACGCAGTTTTTCAATTTCACCTTGTTGCATGTTCTGGATCTTCTCCTGCTCCTCACAGTAAATATCCTTTTGTGTTTGCGCCACCTTGACTGTTTCCAATAGGATCTCATTGGTTTTCTCAACCCTTAGTTTTTCTTCTTGCAGTTGTTGTAGGCGTGTCTGATAGTTGGCAATTTCTTGACGCAGTGCCTGTTCGTTCTTGTCAAAAAAAGATAAAAACAAGAGATAATCGTATGTTATTGTGATAAGCTTAAGGCCAACACACAAAAAAAGCTGCATACCTGTGTTTCGTCATTATTGGATGTGATGCTCATAGAGGAGGAAACACGACTTTTTAGGCGATTGTTATTGTTAGATGTGTTGGAATGAATCATCGAACGCTGATGTGGCGTTATGCCAGGAGTCAATGCGGCATTACCCACCACTTCGGAGCCTGTTTCCTCCTTTATCTTGTTCTTTAACGAAGCAAACATTGTTCTCTAGCCTTACTATAGGAGATGGAAAAAAAGAATTGCACAAATTTACACACCAACCACCTCAATACAAGTCTTATGCCATGGCCATGTTTCAAACGACTAGAAAATACTATTTCAAATGTTGCCTTAATATTAAAGCCTGTTGTTTTATGTAGTTTTCGGCATGGTTTATTTTCTTATCAGAATTTTATGTAAATTAATTTTTCTTTATTTATCAAGCGAGTTCTTGTCGTATAGGTGTATGAAAGTCGACTTTTGATTTACGGAGTTAGTTGGAGGGGGGGGAGGGGGGGTCATCAGTTTACTTGTTCGTTCAGTGTTATTACGCACCCGTGAATGGCTTTGATGAGTCAAAACTCGATTTAAGTACCTCTATTCCCCAGAGGGCAAAGCCGATGTGAAATTCCCGGCGGCGGCGGCTAAGCACAAAAAAGTCCGACTGCAGACGGAAGAGAATCGGCGGCGGCTAAAAGTCGGCTACAGTCGACGACTTTCTATTCATTTAAGTTAGAATAAAAATTAATATATACGTTTTAAGGACATTTGTTGCTTATATCACTTCAATAATTATTACAAAAATATACTAATTTGATAAAAATGGTTCGACGGCCACATTGTTATGATGAACAAACAATTGTAATTGTTTAATAATATTGCAGAATACAGGCTGTTTGTCTTTGCATTAACAGAATTATTTAAATAAATAGTTGTTAATATATCTTTGGCACATTTTAAAAATCTTTTAATAATACTTCTCCTACTTTTGATGAACAAGCAAAAACACAATGACTTTTTTGCAAACCATGTGGCTGCCACTCCATCAAAATTCATAAATACAAAAGGTTGCCAAAGGTTTTGTAATAGAAAATAAATGTACAAAGACATAATACCCTTGCCACTATGAAATTATAAGTTTATTAATCAATTATTAAGAATTTGAGCCGATGAGAGCAGCAAGCATCGGCGGCGGCTCAGATGGCTTAAAAAAAGTCGGCGGGGCTGTGCGCCGACTGCGAGCCCATCGGCTTCGTGCTCTGCTATTCCCGCGTCAATTTTAAAAATACCTGACTTTTGTTGTTATTCTTGTGTTTTGTGTGCTTAAAAGGTTTAAAAGATTATTAATCTTTAAGAAGGTAAGAGAAATGCAGCATTGACTATACTGTTATCCAGGGGAGAAATAAAACAAATTGAAAATTAGCCAAAGATTTAAATGTAGGCTTCATTAATAACAAATACTGGCATCATGACGGACGGACAAATTATAAATCCTTAATTGTAGACATTTGGGTATTCAGAAGTATGCATTGGATTCCCCTGCTAAAATATGGATTCCTATACATGTCGTTGATTCTGATGTTTCAGGACTTCACGTGTATAGCCCATAAATAAATCTTGGGAAAAAAATAGATCAATTTTTATTTATTTTTTTTCTTCACTGATGCTTCTCAGTTTAAGTATTCCTTAGCTTTTTTATTTAATATTTTTGTGATAATATCAAATTTATTTAATTTAAATTTTATTTTTGACACTAGTTTTGCTGTCAATTTTGTTATTTGTTGTGAAAAAATGAGCTGCGATTCAACAGAAGGTGCTGGCGCCGCCGATTCTGGTATGGTGGATAACAAGGAAGCCCTTTCCAGATCAATTTTGGACACCACTGATCTAATTGATAACATGACAAGCTTTCTCGAAGCTGGTGCCGTTGATGTTGATAAGAAAATTCTTAGGAACATGGCATTGGCCTTGACCAAACATTTGAATGAGTAAGTCGTG